CAGACACCACCCCAGGCGATGGCTTCACTCATAGGAGAAATGAGAAGGTGCTGGGATGTGTGTGTGCACCACGAGAAACCACCAGACCCACAGCCATCCACGCGGCACAGAGGGCAAGCTGCCACAGGTTTGTTCCTGATTAATCCACCGGGATATTTGGGCGATTACTGTCCATCCCCCGCCCCAGGGTCAGTGATTCAGAGTGTTCAGATCACCCTTTTTCGAGCTAAATATGCCGGCGCTTTTAGGGCAGCAACACCAAACCCAGCACAAGCACTTTCCTGGCAGAGGGACGACCAGTTGGGAGGAGCTGCCTGAGCAAGGCAGTGGAAGGGTCATTATCCTCTGCTCGTTATTTATCCCAAGGCAGTGGCATTTGTGGAAATCACTGGTTTTACTACATGCCAGAAAAATGTTAGTCATTTGCATATTTTTAATAAGTGCCGTAGTTCCGCTGGGCCTGGGATTTACACATTGGCATTGGGAAAGGATTAAGAGCCTGTTCACTAAACAGGATGTTTGCAGCGTCAGCATCTCCGGGGTTAAAACAGGTCAGAAAGTTAAAAAAAAAAAAAGCATTTCTTGCAGACTCTGGCCTGGACCCCTCCTCTCCCCCTGCTCGCTGCTCCCGGCTGGTGGGAACATCAGGGACAGCTGAGATCTCTTTCCGAATAAACTTCTCTTTTTAAGTCACACGCACCTAAAATTAACTGCATCTTTTGTGTATTTTATTTTCCATTTCCAGGGGTTTTATTTTCCATGGCAGACTATTAGGACTTTTGAATCACACCGAGAGGCGCCAAGCAAACACTGATTCACGGTTTGGAGCTAAATCCCCATTCTTCCCAAGTCCCGGGGACAAAGGGGTAGGTGTGGAAAAACAGCTTCATGCATCACCAGTAACTTTTGTTTCTTTCAAAACCACCTTTGTTAACTGTCACACACGCCTCAGGAAAACCAACACCCAAAACAGCAGAGAAAAGTACATTCAGTACAGCGGGCAGCAGGAAACCTTCTCTCCTTCCTCCTCCTCGCAGATCACAAGGAGGTAGCTTGGCCTAAACCCAGCGACTTGAGTCATCGGGAGTAATAGACAGTATAATAAACACATCATACCTCCCAGTCGTTAATTACTTAACAACAGCTGAGTGCTCTGGGCAGCGAGCAGCTCCCTGTCCCCAAGTCTTATATTTCTTTGCCAAATCCCACCAGAAGCGGCAGGGCCATCAGGCTAGCTCATGGATTACTTGGACCACCAACCACTCGTTCCTTCCAGAAGTGCCTGGTCTTCCAGAAAGGGAAGGAAAAACAAAAAAAAAAGCTGGTTACGGATCATCACACACAACGGGTGTGGAAATAAACTCCCAGTCATGAGTTCACCCTGCTGATAAGGGTGCCCAGACTCGAGCGTGGACAAGCCCAGCCAGGTGCCCGGTCTGGTTAGCAGGGAACCAGGGCTGGCAGCTTTGCACGGCAACCAAGCCAAGTCTGAGGAGTTGAGGATATGAATCCTGGTAGGCCTGGTGGACAATAGGATGACCATGAGCCAGCAACGCGCCCCTGTGGCCAAGAAGGCCAATGGCATCCTGGGGTGCATCAGGAAGAGTGTGGCCAGCAGGTTGAGGGAGGTCATCCTGCCCCTCTACTCTGCCCTGGTGAGCGCCCACCTGGAGTATCTCCACAGCCATAACTTGTACTCAGCACCCCTCATCTTTTCCACGTGACTCCTTGTAAAAAGGGAGTCTCCATCTTCTTTGTAGCTGCCCTTTAAAGAATCATAGAATGATATGGGGTTGGAAGGGACCTCTGGAGATCATCTAGTCCAACCCCCTGCCAAAGCAGGTCCACACAGAGCAGGTTGAACAGGAAGGTGTCCAGGCAAGTTTGGAATGTCTCCAGAGAAGGAGACTCCACCACCTCCCTGGGCAGCCTCTGCCAGGGCTCTGCCACCCTCAAAGTAAAGAAGTTCCTCCTCATGTTTAGATGGAACTTCTTATGTACAAGTTTGTGCCCATTCCCTCTTGTCCTGTCCCTGGGCACCACTGAGAAAAGACTGGCCCCATCTTCTTGACACCCTCCCTTTAAGTATTTATAAGCATTGATCAGATCCCCCCTCAGCCTTCTCTTCTGACTGAAAAGACCCAAGTCCCTCAGCCTCTCCTCGTAAGGGACATGCTCTAAGCCCCTCACCATCTTTGTAGCCTCTGCCGTCCCCTCTCCAGCAGTTCCCTGTCCTTCTGGACCTGGGGAGCCCAGAACTGGACACAGTGCTGGAGCTGGGGAGGATGACCCCTCCCTCCACCTTCTGGCCACGCTCTTCTTGATGCCCCCAAGCTGCCATTGACCTTCTTGGCCACAAGGGCACGTCGCTGCCCCACGGTCACCCCGTTGCCCACCAGGGTCCTTCTCCTCAGAGCTGTCTCCACGCACCGCCGGGACCCCCAGGTCCCCACTCGGGGGGGGCGAGACACCATCTTTTAAGAAGTGACCACCACCCCACGCCATCCCCCGAGCGCCCCGCAGGCTCCCACGCGGGATGCCGGGTGCGGGGACACCCGGGGCGGGGGAACGGCCATCCCCCCCCTCCCGCATCCGCCGCCGTGGCCGGGG